GTATATTATCCCTTCCGTACGATTTATCGGTGACAGTTTTTACGTCAAAGTCATTCATCTGTTAATATTTATTTTGAAGAACAAATTAAGAGAGAAATCCATCGTCATGGAAATGTATCATTTTACATTATTTTATATTAAGATGTCTTCCTATGTCTAAAACAGCATGAACATTGAAAAAATATCTCCACTGGCTAAAATTGAAAATATTAAACAATTTTCCAAAGCAGCTTAAACGCTGATTTTGCGGAAAAAATTGAATGTTTAAAATTCGTGTATAGAAATCTGCAAAAATCTGTAAACATGACCAAAATTTAGTAAAGATTACCGTGGATATGAGAATAGTTACTACGAAATATAGTAGGGGTTACTATGCGATATGATAAACTTGTTAATAGTTAAGTGCCTTCCAGATGAAGCAGTACTTGTCACGTCGGCATATTAACAATTATTAAGCTGGCATAGTAATCATTACTATGTTGACGCAGTCACCATTACTATGTTGATATAGTAACCAGTAAAATGTTGACACAACAACTATTACCATGCTCTTACTATATAAATTGTGTCGACAGACAATGCACATGGTAACAATCCCTATCGAACATAGTAATGATTAGCATGTTATATCGTTATCATCACTATGTGTCGCATAGTAACTATTACCCGATGGCATGATGAGTTTTTCTATATTACCATGTAATTATTAATATGTTCATCATCGTAGAGTATCATATATGGTCTACTAGCGCGATTAAAAGGACAACTATTATAATTCGATAAAAACTATGTTGCTAGGGCGTTCGCTCCTACGGTCATGGTGAATTTTACCATTAAATTCCCCTCTGTGTTCGATCAATTGAGCATTCATCACGTCACCACTTCACCTGATCCTCGTTTATTGAAATAAAAATAGTGGTGATAAACGATCTCAAATCCGCCGACTTATAGACAATACATGTACTTAGGGAACATGGCCACAATCTATAAGCATCCAATCTCATACACAACCGATTGCGGTACCAGTGAATGAATGAATGAATGAGAAATGAATGAATAAATTTCACATTGCACGCGGCATATGGGTAACTCATTGGCTTTAATCCCCCTCACTCCCTCTCGATTCAACTTCACTCTTAAAACCAATGGTTTTCACGACGGGTAAATGAGCGCCACGGTCACGCCTCGTTAACGCCGAGCTTGTGCTCCTCCATTGCCATTACTTTCGGAACTCGTCACGAACTCGATCCATATCCTCAAGAGGTTTGCGAACCGCAAAAAACCTCTCGCCACAAAACCTACAACACTAATTTTCCAATAATTTATTCCACGATTGGCCTAACTGCCTCCAATAATTTAACCAAAAGTTTGAAACTATTCGATGGCAAAGATTGTGAATTCATGATCAAATCTAATTGTTTATTACAATATAAGTCTCATTTTTGCGAAGGATACAAAACTGTCTATATCATCAATTTTCAAATAATTCATTCCACAATAATTTTCGGAAAATTACAAACGAATTGGACGAACAGACTAAGAATTAATGATTTTTCTCTACATCAAAAAGGATCAGGTGATAATAATAATAATTTATTTATTTATTATTATTTCATCATTGACATTTTAAATGTTTACCAAGAGCAAAAACGCCTAATACTTAGTTTCCCATAATTAATTCAACTAGAATTGGAGGGAAATTTGAAATAATTAGACGAGATAGGGTAAGAATGAATAATAATCTATTGAAAATCATCAGGTAGCATTAAGTGTTATTTTGCAGGGTGAGAGGCCGCCCTCTTCCCACTTTGATGATTTACTCTTACCAATGTGAAAGCGTAGGTAATCGTCGATGATATCACCTTTATAAATAGTCACGCCTCCTGTCTACCACATATTATGACGACGATATATGTTGTTGTTGGGTCACCTACGTATGATATGCAACTGGAACGCCACGGAATCATTATTACGTACACTTGGGGACGTAATCGCTCAAGCGATAATTAATGCTACAGATTAATTACGAGCGGCGATATATTCTCTCATTTTCTTACACATGTGTATGTAAGTGTTAAACTCTTTCCTGCAGTTGATCGATCCAGTTTATATTAATATGAAGGTCAATAGTCAAATCTTTGAGTTTTCGGGAATAGTTTGAGTTCGATTTATATTGTGTGAACTGAAACTATTTTTCCTTTTATTTTGATTTTGTAGTTACAATTCTTAGGAGCAATCTAACTATATAAACAGATGTAAGATAAAAGCATAAAATTTATAGATAATAATGATAATCAGTAATTGAAGGGGTCAAATGTATAATTCTAAATGAAGTGGAAATAATTTATCGTTAATTTGAACATTATAAATAAGAAATTGAGAAAAAAAAAATAGAAAAAGAAGAGTTTGCAGCCATTGTTCATATTCTAACAAGAATATCCCGATTTTTATTCTAGAAAAATTCTACTCTACATGAACCAAATAAACAGATAGGTTTTACGATGAATTTTTCCCTCGACAAATGAAGCACAACAAAATGAAATAATTGACTCTAAAATTTCGAGCTCCATCCATCAATCAATTTCCCTTTTCACCCTTCCTCGTTCACTGCATAAAATTTATGAAGATTGATCCTTCCAAGCAGGAAGTTCCAACAGCACCAGGTGCACTAATTCCTAGTGATAAAACCAACCTAATCATCAACTTTAACAACAATCCTCATTCCATTCTTTCTCTCTCATTACTTACCGCGTGTGTAACACGAGTAATCCGCCTCCTCAATTTTTATCGGCCATTGAAAAATGAAGAAATAAAAAAACTCATTGAAAAGAAGCGCTGGAACAACAACGAAAAAATGCCAATTTCGAATCGATAATTCATCGGCGGCTTGTGCCTGCCTCCTCAGCCCTTCACGAAACGAGCGCATGATTATGGACGCGGCTTCATAATAATCACGTTGAGATACTTAAAGACCCAACGACCAAGGGCGCATTTCATAATGCACAAGAGGAGTAAGAAGATTGGGGAACCCCTCGATTATAGGTGGCGCCTTCACTCGCACTCTGGTGCATTAAACCCGCCAACAATGTACAATGTGAATACTTTCTCTTATTTTACCACTGTGGTGTAATCATCCTCATGTAGTATAACAAATCACTCGATCCTAAGAGTAGTAAGGTCGTTGATCACACCAGACCAAGTGTGATAATCCATTATCCTTCTTCACCCATTTGTACAATCATTAACTCGATTTTTAACAAAAACGACAAATCCATTTTTTTTTCTCTTCAAAAATATTTCAAGTTAAGGCCCAGGTGGACTGACTATCGAACGTCCACGTTTGTTGAAATTTTATATTTTTAACGTAAAATATATCAAAATTTGGGATTGATTTTGTGTTGCGGGAAACACTTGAATGGACATGAAAAAATAATGAAAAAAAACGAAAAATTATTGAAAGGCACTAAAGATCGATCTTATTTAAAAGGGATTTACCAAGTTCGCTCAAAAATAATAAGAAATACGTAGCTTACTATTGCATCTAGCTGTCACTGAATCTTCTGGAGAGCAATGGTAAGCTGGGTAATTTTTATTATTTTTTTGTAAACTTGGTAGATCCCTTTTAAACAATATCGCTCTTTAGCGCTCTTCAATCATTTTTCCTCTTTTTATTCATTATATTTAAAACTATTCGAGTAGCTCCTGAAACACAAATTTGATCCTAGATTTTAATGTAAATTGGGCTAAAAAGATAAAATTTAAACAAAGGATGATTCGATAGATAGTCCACCCGGGCCTCATTTCCCTATTTTTCTGCAAATGGTGAAGGAACATATTGAGTATAAATTACTCAACAATTCGAAATCAATTTGTGTAATTCGAGACAAGGAGTCGTTTGCCGGTTATTTTATAGGAATGAAAGAAAATAAAGCTGAAACGTTTCAGTTATTTATCGCGTTCATCGCTGCAAAAAATATGGGATTGTCCCGTAATTTTACCGAATCATTAAAATCCTATGGAAAGTTCTCGATTTATAATGCATTTCAAATCTTTTATGGGATTTTACGTTTTTTTATTAACAAAAGCTTGATTTTTGTTCAAATATTTTGTGGTTCTAAAATTCTAAAAATATACAATATTCCAATTATTTGTAAACAGATGGAGTTCACTCCTTTTTGTAATTTTATTAGACAATCTCAGATAAAATTGCAATTCCCGTCTTACTGCGTAAACTAAATTAAGAACTCGACAGAATATACGCATGTGCAGTTGTTCAATATTTTAATCCAATTTGATCGGAATTGAAAACGATTAATCGATGATCATTGTCTGTTTTTGTTCAGGTGTTCCAGTACACATGGAGACCAGGTATTACAAGTCTCTTTATGATGTCGAAAAATCCAGACAAGTGTGACACCTCGGCCAGGTACCGAGTATCCGGAATATTTAATCAGATACCGATAATTTATGCTCCTCATGCCCCGCAATTTCAGCAATCGAATTCATGATCGAAATGATTAATCGAAAGGGATATTTTCAATACCCTTCACTGACACGAGATCTATTAATTAAGAATTCTTTCTGGAGCAAATGAGTCGCGTGTCTTGTGCCAAACCTCGTGTTAACTTCGGGATAGAATTACTGTCATAATAATAACATTCTATTATTATCGTTGTAATTATAATAATATAATAAAGATCAAAATAATAGCTGCTCAACTATTCTGGTGAAGGAAATTGAATAAAACTGGCGGTAAAGAAATCTTTGGAAATTATTCATTATTGTTTATAAAAATTCATTAAAGTCGACCGAATGAATAATCTGTGAAACCGAGTCTCAGATGGTTAAACTGTAAACATTTGTAATTAATATAATTTATACGATTTACCAAAATATACAAACAAGAACTTTGTAATAATGTTGGCACAAGACATGCAGAAAATTCAGCAGGATGACAAGTTTACGTTTAAAAAAGCTAATTGTATAAGTTTATTACTCACATTCTTTGTTACGATCATGCTGCAGTGGTGAATCGTCAACTTCCGCTTTAGGCGGTGAAGATCGATTGCTCTCAGCCATTTTTGTTGTTTCCGCCACCGAAGTGGATATTTGTGATATGTCAACACCTAACGACTTTCTTCCAGTTGTCAAACTACCCTCTGCTGTTCTTTCGTATCGTTTTCCCGTTTTCTTGCTGCTCTCTAAACGATCTCTACACGAACAGAAAATATTCTTTCTGATAACGAAGAAATAATAAATTACGAAATTAGAACCTTCAATGAAGCCGTTAGAGTATTTGAAAGGGGAAACCGGAGAGGTCATGCAGCCTTACGGCTACATGAAGATTGATTCTAAATAGGGTAAAATGGCAGAAAAGGAATGCACAGCTGGGGCACTTTATTGTCCTGTTTAGAATGATAGGAAGGTGAAATTCAAGCATCATCGCCACCTGAACCTGATTATTACACTCTGGTTTTACCACTAAAACGTAACTGATACTTATATTTAAGTTTTCCATTCTTTTGTTCATTGAACGCTTGAGTTATATTTGCCATTTTCTGATTTATTTTCCGCTGTGAATCCCGGAAACACCGACGTCGGTAGCTCAGTGGCTAGGTGCGAGCTTATTGTTCTGAAAGTTGTGAGTTCGATTCCCCGTAGAATCGAATTTTTCAATAGACACCGATGAGCGGGAGGCTGCTAATAGAGCAACCGCCTGTACCGACATGGTTTTTTCTGTGGTTTCCCATGTCACTCCTATGTTCTATAGGAGAGTGAATACGGTACAGTGTAGGATCCACAGCCACGTGCATGGGGTGAGGGCCAATTAGCCAGAACAGGGCAGAAAGGGCCGGAATATAAAAAAAAAATCCAGAAAACTTTAAGTAGAATGATCCTTACCTGTCCTCTTTAGCTTCACGTTTCTCTCGTTTCTCCCTGAGTACCTCAATTCGCTTCGCCTTGGATTTGGTCTTGCTCTCGATTTTACTGAGTTTGTTGGACTGATTGTCAATTAGAATACTGGGATTTTGGGTGTTTGATTTAGAGGGCTCGTCGTTATTTAAGTGATTTCCGTTGAAGGATGCTGAGATTGATGATGATGCGGTGGTTCTGTTGTTCGTGTAATCCTTGAACCACTCGGGGTAAATAGCGCTTATAGTGTCCAGGAGGTCCTGATCCAACTGTATCCTCCAGAATGGGGAGCCGCTGTCCAACCTGTGGCTAGACTCTGAAACAAAAATAACACGTGTTAATCAATATTATCGAACAATTTCTGTTGTTATTTTGGTTCCGTGTGGCCCGTGACATGATTGTGATTTGAAATGTACATGAGACCTACTGCGCACTCCATGCGCCGAATTTGAATTTGGCGGTTCGACTCGACCAATGAGGCATTAGTCTTACGCGTTTCGAGATATTTCGACTCGGGCAAACTTCATTTTTGTGTTTCTACTTTCATAATAAGGATTAATTAGCCCTTGCTAGATGGTGACAGAAGATTGTCAAATTGTAATTTACATAATTTTAGTTTAATTCGGAATTCATATTATTTCGTTCCTCTCAATCGATTTCAGGTGCCATCATCTCTTTTGATCATCTATACATCTTTTTGT